TCATGTAGTTCACTGGGCAGACAAAAAAGTAGCTGGCGCACGCATCACTGAAGGGATGTTGATTTAAGGAAAAATTCAAATTTTTTAATATGTCTCCTCAGAGCACAGCTTTTGGGTCGGTCGCTTTTCCAAATACATTTTTTTCCGCCAGCAAAAAGGGGAAACGTATAAGGCTGAAACTGGGTGGCATAGTGTTCCCTAAGTCTACATTTCAAAAGAAAAAAAAATTTCTTTCAAGCCCATTAGACCACTTTTTTCAGTCCCATTTTCATGTTTTTATCCAGAGGCAGGAAATTTAAACTACTTTTAGAAGTAGCTATTTGATGGCTGAGTAGAGGAAAAATCCTAATTTTGAAATATGTCTCCTTAGCGTCGATTATTGGAGGGAAGTATTTCAAAATGTATTCTCCACCCTTAGAAAAAGGGACACAAGGAAAGATTTCAGGTTAGGCACACATATTATCATAGAGGTAATGATTTTAATAAAAATCAAGACTTTCGACTCCATATGTCACGTATTTCAATGGGGACGTACTTCAAATACGTGTTTGCCATTTCGAAAAGAATAAATGAATTAATCACTATCCAAGGCAATAGAGCGCCGAAGGCGCGACCATAGGGAGTTTGTTTTGCCCTTCGGGCAAACAAACTCGCTAGTATTCTATAAAAGGCATATATTTCAACTTACATTCGAATATTTCTGTATGCATTGGTAGTACTTTTGTCATATCCACTTAATGCTACCTAAAGAATGTTACATTTTGGAAGCGATGTTCTTTCTGTCCCTTGTCACTTTCAGTCGTAATACCCTGTTGTGGATGTGCTTCCTGTTGTACCCGTGCTTCTGGTCGTAGACATGCTTCTAGTAGGGAAGGTGCTTCCGGTTATTCCTGTGCTTCCAGCTTCATTCGTGGTTATGGTTGTCTTCTTGGGCGAGGTCCAATCGCCTCCCGTACCTCCCGTGTCATCCTGCTTCCCAGCGTTCAGGTGGACCAGAATTCCCGTGGTTATGATAGCCCCAACTATTACGATGACTAGCAGAAGGCCCATTTTCTTGTACACAGTCATGGAACACCTGTTCTCTGTACCTCGGACATCCTAAAGAAATATTCATATTCCATTTCAATGACAATACTCTAATCCCAAGTTTCAGGCCGCTTCTTTCCGACAAGTCATAGAATGCATGTATCCTGTTTGTTAATTATATATTCATTGTCACATTTATTAAAGAATTAAAGAGGCAGTATGTGGACCTCTGGTCTGGAATTGAGTGATTAATAATTCATACAAGCATCATCAGTGCAGTCACTTTCAATAATTTTACAAATGCCCCCCCCCCAAATATCACGATCATTTCCGACGCCAACCACTAGTCGAAGTTCAAGAAATATGGTAAAATCACTAAAATTAAAACAACTTTAAATATTGGTATTCCTGCAGCTGCAGGAAAGGAAATGAAAAAGAATCGCCATAGAGCTCCACATAAGTTCTGGTCTCGAATGGGACTGATGAAGAAATTATTCAACTCGGTTCGCAATTTCAAATAAAAAGGTCTTTGCAATACAAAATGACATTCTCTGGTTAGGGAATGACTACTCTAAGCATTGTCACATGCAACTTCTGTTGATATTTTCCTGAGAATATTATTGAAGAGAATCGCTGGTTTGAAGTCTTATGAGCGTTCGAGAGGTTGACACAAGTAGGCTACTTTGGTTTTAGCCAAAATGATTATTGGTAAAAATAAACTCTTTAAACTTCATATGCTTGAAACAAAGACTTGAACACTGATCTAGTCCAACTCATCTGCATGCTCTTACGTATCGACATCGATGTCCCTGATTTCCTGGCAGACAAAAAAAAGACTTTCCATCAACTGAGCACCTTAATGAGACTTCCTATAATGAATTCCTAGAATCTCACTTTTTGAGTTTCATAATGGGCCGTCAGGCCTAATTTGAAGAGTCATGTCCTCACATTCGCTAATTAAACGTAGAATTTTCTAAACTAGTTGAACTCGTATATTTTCGTGGTTCAAAAAACTTTCAAATGTGTGAATTTGTCGACTTGTTAAAAATTGACCAAGTATATATGAAATGATGTGTGGAGAACCGTGACAGATCAGTTCTTCATTTGCGTTGCCGCCGTTTTCTCCAGCTGCTGCATTCATTCGTTCTTCATAATTCGTTTTCAATATAGGATCGCGGATCTTTTCAATCAGCATTGTTCAGGAATGCTGAGTTGCAATAAAATAACAATCACAAAAGGTGGCGACTGGATACGATGGATGTGTACCTTGGCAATCCTGTATTTCTTAAACATTCCTCCGGTATTCCGCTTGGGTTCTCCGTTTGTTTCCGACATGTCCCTTTCTAGTACTTGGAATTCTGCCATTTTTGGATTGAGTTCAGGCTGCTGGGTTCCCTGCTGGTTCGCATATGACCCTGGTGAGAAAGCAGATCCGCAAAAATTACATGATCAAGCAGAATAAAAATTGCATATTGTTCAGTACCAAGTTGTGAGAATTTATGTATTTAGGGGGAGCCGTACCCTTTGCCTGGTGAAAAACGCTCTCGGATTCCTAAACGCGTGCTCCCACACATATGAACCTTAAATCAATGCCCTCCACTCATTGATCTGCTTCTAATGATGGTACTTAAGAGTACCGCACTAAGTAGAGACCAGTACTCCATCTCAGTATCTCAAAAACAGCAAGATCGATTCCAAAATCTCAAGTTTATGTCATGGAGACGGTCGCTAGTGTTATAGGTTTGGAGGCGGACGTTTAGAAATGTGGCACTTTTTCATGCCATTTGAGCAAAAAGTTGGCGCCATAGAGGTCCACTACAATGGTTTGCTTGCACCTTCAAAAATAGATGGCAGACCTGTCTCACGCACATGAAAAATGGGCAGCACGAAGAAAGCTCCACCTTCCTTGACCCTTATTGGCAGGTTTTCCAGAATTTCTTTAACCTGAGGGGAAGTCCACTGAAAAAGGTTCAGTGGCCTCCTTTCCACCCCCTTCCCTCTCAAAAAAGGGAAGGCCACGTAATTATGATTTATGGACCGATTTGCGTGGATTTCTTAAAACTTACATACGTAAGATAACCGCAGAAGATGATTACATTTTCTTATGTCGTTTTTCGGGGAGTTATCATGTCTATTCGGCTTTACGGTAGACGCGAAGGCAAATCTTGGCAGTGAAGAAAATGGCTCATACGACGAGCACCCTGGGAAATTCTTGCTAAATAGATATCCCTTGATCCCAATAAAAAATGTAGGTATTGCTTTCCTGGGATTCAATAAGTTTCAGTGAGTTTTAGGAAATTTGTTACCAACATAGCGACGCGTAGCATAAGTCCAAAATAGGTCACCCCCCAGGACATATGTCTTTGACCCAGAATGATCTGTGAGTGCCGATTTGGAATGGTTTCTGAAGGCGGCTATCTGCGAAACACTGTTTTGAAGAGATGAAATCATCCCAGCGTAGTCTTACCACCGCCTCACACATTTTGAAACTTCTTTATTGAATTTCTGCAGCATTTTTGCAGGAATTTACTCGAATCATTTTTCGCACCAAGTTAGTGAAAGGAGAATCCAATATTATCAAACGTTATGCACCCCAAACATTTAAATATGATTTTTTTTAATGCCGCCGCTCCAGTCCCAAGGGCCTCTTCTGTGACATCAAGCCACATTTCGGTCTTCTTCAATCATGGTCTTCATTTCAGCCACATTTTCACATCACTTGCTGAAATTGGACGACCTTCAACCAGTCATCTACAAATCACATAGAAGGAACTAGACAGCCCAGTTATAATTTCATCTCTGTAAGGCACTGTTTAGCAGTTAGACGTCTTTGAAACCATGGCAAAGCAGCAATTGCTGATTTCCCTTGACGAGAGTGGACGACCTGGGAGATGAACTTTTTTGGGCCTTATGCTACGAACATTTTATTTTCGTCACACCATTTTGGTATAGAAAAATAAATGATCGAAAAAAGCACTCCGGGATTTTGTTGAATCCTGGAAGAACAATACCCCAAAATATCATTAGGATAAGGAGACAATGCCATTTGGGATTAGATTTTGCAGCGCTCCTCTTACGTTCTGTTGTCTTTCTCGAATAAATTTCGAAGACCTTGACCAAAGGTCTTGACCTTCTAAAAGCTTCTCGCATCTCGCTGTCCCCAAACGTCATCATTCTTGTGGCCCTCCTCTGTACTCCCTCGAGCGTCAATAATTCATCCTCATATGTAGGCTTTCAAAATTGAATCCAATATTCTAACTGGGGTCTTACAAACGCCGCAAATAGCGGAAGAATGACGCTCCAGTTCCTACTTGCAACTGAACGACCAATGAATCCTTCGCTTACTGCTACATTTGGCCAATGCAGTAGTATTAAAAAAAGGTACATTTCACCGGAGGCGCAATAGAGACGCAATAGAGGTGCATCGGAGGGGTCGGGTAATTTGGGGGAATATGGCCCTACAAATTGGAACCTGGTCATCACGGCTCATGAAGGTCGAATTTCACTTTTACAATATTTCAAAAATATTGATCTCCTTTACTAAGTTCCAGCGAGACGTATGCAAAAAAACCATGGATATGGCGCCTTTGGACGTTTTTCGAGTTGGTCCAAAGAGGCCATATTACCATTATAGTTGGGGGAATATGGCCATTTCTGAAAAAAAAAAAACAACTCCTGGAACGTGTGAAAATGCTAGAACAGTGTGAGTACCTTGAAACATAATAAAGGACTCTCAGCAGTTGAAAAAGAAACACTAACTACGCCCAGTACAAAGAAGTCGACATCCTTACATGACTCGAGGAACCTTGGTGAAAAGCAGTATTGCAACGCTTTTGCTCTTAAAAAATATTGCACGTGATTGTGAGGCTATACTTGGGACTGTGTGTGTAAGAGGAGAGATGCCACACGAAAGGAAGCTGACACTATCAATAGGTCAGTGAGGTGCTAACATGAAATGAAGGGTCTCTCCATACTTCACTAATTCCAGATGGCCATATTCCCCCATATTGGCTTGCATGACAGAATTGAAAACACATTCTGCAAACCGCAATTGAAGAGGCTAGCACATTGCACAAGCATTTTGGAGAGACCATAGAATAAATTTGAATAAATAGTTCCTGTATACATAGGGAATACGGGAATAGGGAATACATAGGGTAAAAGGGAATAACTGATAAATCAGCTACGTCAACTTTTTCGGACACGTTGATTACGTCTTTACTGTGTTGCGCCCCTCTTTTTTGTCATGCTCTCCTTTTTACCGCCACTGCCTCTAAGGGTCAAGGGCGAGTCAGGAACGAGAGTAGTGTGCATGTTGCGAAAGAACTTATACAAGAATCGAGTATCGTGTCGTTTTCATTCATTCGAGAAAATGGAAGGTGTTAGCACTAAGGCTGCGCTTCCTAAGCCCAACTATATTTTCGCCCTCGCGTTATTCACCGATAAGGAAGGCCGGAAGACATTCAGCTTTGTTCCTGCAAAAGCTGGTTGCGTGAATGTGTCGGAGCTCGTCAAGTGGGGATTCAATCTGGACGTTGATCCGAAGATCGCATCGATGATACACGACATTTTGGAGGAATTATCTAAGCTACTCGTTGCAACCATCTTGGTCACATCCGACCAAATGATTCACTTCCATTCATCAATCGTGCAATTCATGTGGCTTACGGCGAACTTATGCCAGGCCTTTATATCTGCTGGCGAGAGTTCCGGCTTTTCTCCGATGTCTGCTGCACTTAAACTAACTTCGTGGAGAGCGCGGCAAATGGTATTGACGCTAACTTCGACTCCCACGTTGTCCCTGAGTTTGTTGGTGACCTGTATGGCTATTTCCAGCATACCAGAAGTAGTGGCACGGAAGCAGAACCGCTTGTTTTTATATTGCAGCTTCTGAGGATGACCGCCTTTAGACCTTCTGCGGTCAGGAAAATTCTGCTTCTAGATCTTTTGGACAGACGATCTGCTGAAGCTGCATGCTGAGCAATCACCCTGAGGCTAGGATCTTATAAGATTTTTGAAACATAAAAATCTCATAGAATTCCTATAGGATTCTTATAGGCTTCGTATAGGCTTCGTATAGGATTCTTATATGATCCCTATAGGATCCTATACGAATCCTATAGGATCCTAAAGGAACTCTATGGAATTCCTGTGAGATTTTTATGTTTCAAAAATCTCATCGGATCCTATAAGATCTTTTCGTAAGGAATAGTCCTTTCGGAGAAGTGGGAGGAGGTTTCGCAGGGTGTCGTCAGAAATTGAACAAATGATGACTGAATTCAAAAATGTCACTGAACATGAACGAAGACAGCCCTAGAGCAGGGCGCCTTCTAATATATATAGACGATCGTGACTGACTGACGCTAATTCTAACTATGTTCTAGAGAAGTTAGAAATCTGAAANCAGGGCGCCTTCTAATATATATAGACGATCGTGACTGACTGACGCTAATTCTAACCATGTTCTAGAGAAGTTAGAAATCTGAAACTTGGTACACAGGTACCTTTTGGGATGCAGAGTTTAGAAAAATTCCGACTTTGGAGGTACATCCCCTGGGGGTACAAATTTGTTTGGGGAAACGTTTTTCTGAAATATATTTTGTGAAAGATGAGGATGGCATTCAGAAGATCAAATTCATGTCCTGAGTTCGATGGTGTAGGGGTAGCACATCTGCCCGGCTCCTCAGGAGGTCCGGGTTCAATTCCCGGCCATTCCTAGGCTTTCTTTTGCCTTTTTTTGCCTTCTATGTCCCGTTACTCATTCCCCCTCCATAACATTAGTTTTGCTTAAGTAAAACGGAGAGACATGGAAAGCTGAAATCTGGCATGAACGTGTAACAGTAGTGAACAGCAAATGTAACTTGTCCCACCAGGTCTCAACTTAATCAGCATGGTGATCAAGATTAAGTCACGACGATGACAAAGGAATATAGTCGAGACGGAGTGGAAAGGAAGGAAGGAAATTCTGAATGACAACGAGGGGCAGATGCGATGACCATTACGTTCGGACAAAAAAAAGAGGACAAATTTGTGACACGTGGGGAGGCACCATGTTCGGTTTTCGCCTTTTTTCCCTCTACCTCTTCTGGAAGACTAGATGCACACCAAAGGAGGCAGAGAGGTGTTTGTGACTCCACAATGCTAAGCATTTAATATGTAAAAAGACTACAAGAGATAGGATTTTCTGCCTTCCCAGTCAGCAATTTATGTCCGCGCCAAGTGTGGCTTATCTCCGAGGTTCGCGTTTTACAAGCTCAGGCCTAGTACATCAGCCCACACATGCATCAATGGGACATGGGTGGCATGTGCATGGGCTGTAGCGGAAATGTTCGCGTTATAAGTGGCATCTTCATCGGTCGGCCAAGTGTGGATTTTGCGTGGGGCACGTTATTGCCAAATTAACCTGGTTGGCCTGTCTGCACGTGGAAGCAGGGCACCAACGTGGCGTATGTGAATGCCACTCCATAAATGCCCGTCCAACCCGTAACCTACAATGGTGAAGACATTTCGATCTACAGCACTAGTACTGCTGGTACTGGCATATCCCGCTGCGCAACCAAGCGTCTGACCCATCGATGGACAGGAGGCAAAGGATGATGCAGGAGTTGATATACCCCTGGAGCGTACTAATTATAATACGTTTCAGTGGAAGAACTATCCCTTTGTGTCCTAAGGCGTATGCACCAATTCAGTTACTAATTTCCTCATTCCAAATTCAGGATAAAGAAATGATGGATTGAATATGTGAACACCATCACTGTTCTAAAACTCATTTCGTATAAGGTTACTCTCTACAGGTAAACGGTTCTTATCGGGAAAATAACCTTATGGCCGGGACTCCACGAATTGTCTCAAATATGGGGAACTTTCAAGAATGTTGAAATGTTAAAAATAAATTCAGAGTAAATTATTGTTTCTTTGTATCTATTTCGATTGATACCATCCGACCCATTGCGTGCCATGCACGTGACAAATGGTGGTCTGTGGTATACAAATTTTGATTAGCTGGATAAAGTTTGACCAAAATTAGTGAAGAAAAATTCAATTCAAAGGAATTTTAGAACGCTTGCAACAAGTAAAGCTTGTCGAAATTGTCAAGTTGCGTTCCGAGAAAAGAGTATCAGAGATGAGTCCTGGCCGTTCTTGAGAGAATCATTGTAACAATAATAATGTCGCAAGCGAAGGAAATACCACTTTGCGTTAAAATATATTTTGAGGTCCGTTCCAGAGCTTTCAGGAGAAAATAAATCAAATCCAAGGTGGGAATTTAAAGAGAAAGTTCAAACAATCAAAACTTTGGTGGAAAATTATAGCTATTGCGCTTACCTTCTTGTGCAGTAGCAGAGGAAACATTGTCTCCAAAGATGTCTGCAAGAAAATGACACATTTATGATTTCATCTGCTATTCTCTGGGATTTCTGAAAGAATTAATAACTGAAAACCGAGATGAATTTGCATACTAAAGAATATTGTGGGAAAAACGCCTACTGGGGAGGATGAATAGAACTCGAGCCCATGGATATCATACGTTCTCTATCAAAAATGTTTAAAACATTTGTCAAGTGGTAGGTACTCGTAATTCGCCCAGACTATCGTTCTGCGCATTTGAGGGCATGATCTCCCCAGAAAATTATCTATGCATTATCATCTCTGTTCCTAGAACATCCTCTACTTCCATCACATATATGATGCTGCAAAACCTACCTACAAAACTTATCAAAACGGTAATGGTCAAATATTTTGACTCAAAA